GGGCATAATGTATGCATTCTGCATTTGTTAGCATATGGTCTTGTCCAGTTTGTACTTCGGCATTTGGCATTTGCTTACTACTAGTCACGCCATCACAGGTATGCGACGCGCGTCGTGGTATGTTGTGTTCAAATAAATCACGTGCTTATTGGATCAAGGAGGTAACCTACTTGATTGGGTTAATTTACATTTTACTACGGTGTTTGGCGTGGCTTTGTTTGGGAGTTGGTGGGTGGCGTGGGTTGTCGACATGGCCAGCGCGCAGTCCCGTGTTGAACCACGCCCTTTTTACCTGAGATATTTGTGTAAGGCAACCACGAAGACACCCGATCGGGGATCACTGAGACGAAAATATACATGACTCGTGTTGAGGGTTCAAAAGAATGTCAAACGACAAATGGACAGGAATGCTGCCACTGGTTCTCGACCTCCTGAAACTTCCACAAAATTCGACATTTCTTCAAGCATCTTTACGAAAAACAAACTCTTAAGCTTCGACGACGTCCACTCGTTGTGTTTGAAACTAGTAAATCTTTCCATAATATGATTACTATGCCTATTTCTGTTTTTGTTTCTTCATTTGTCTGCGGCCTGTCATGTACTTCCGGGAGACTGATGATGGTTACGTAACGGACTGTGCAATGCCCACTATCTTACACACGAGCTGGTACACGCGTGCACTGAACATTCATCACATCTACTGACCTACATTGTAAATCACAACTATTCACTCGCTGTAATGACATGATCTCCAAGCAGATCTTAAAATCTTAACCAACTGGCGAAGCAGTATCCAGGAGGCAGTTACATTGGATACTGTCTGGCCTACTGGATTCTGTCTCCTCAGTTGGTTAAGATTTTGCCCCTCACCATCGATAGATCTACTTGGAAATTAGTTTATGACATGCGTGCCCGGGCTATGGGTGTACAAAGCTCTTCGGTTTATTTTTAGGCTGAGAAAACAGCACGTGTGCAACCATGCCGGTAGACTGTCCCAGGAAACCAGGCAAGAGAGAAAGACCGACTAATCCTGTTATATCATCAACATTTCAATGGAGTTTTGATGATCTGTCTGCCCACCACAAACGTCGTGGCAAACTGGAGTAGTTATATATAGGTGTCGAATATTTGTCTTACAAATGTAAACAAGGTAATCGGAACGTTCGAACGTTAGCCCCGTACGCTTAAGTGTGCTTGCAAGCGTCGTGATCTTTTATGCATTTTCTTCCAATCTAACAAAGCTTGAATGAAAGTAGGGAAGTGACTGTCCCACTTCTCGGTACTGTCCATGGGAGCAAAGGAATCCGGTATTGTCGCTATCTATATGGTTGCTAAGTGTTTTCAACCGGCGATAATGAAATGCTATTTACAAACATTTGCACGTCCGGTTGGGGTCAATGACATCGCCAGTTGCGCTCCCCTTTCTGTCCCACAGTCATTTAGCTTGCATAAGTTGTTTAGACGAGTTCTGGGCGTTTTCTCAGTTTCACAAGGACCACATGGTGCTAATGTACGTCACCTGGTAACTTAATGTGCAGGTTCGAGAGTTATCTATGTGTATGCCTAGGCAGAGAGTCGGGGTTACGGGCGGATAGGTGGGGTTGTGCTGGGAGCGAAATGTAATCAGGCTAAGAGAGGTCGTTCCCCGATCGGTGAGGTCACTGACACCCGGGATCTGGCACTCATGGCAACCTGCTCGCTGATTGGACGATGACCTGTTTTCTTTAAGTGAGGCGGGACCTTTGTCGATTATAAAAGGCCTGGTAGGTGGGTTATCAGCTTCATTCACCTGACTGTCGTCCACAGCTTGTTCGAAAGCTACAACGGCGTCCGAGATGATTCAGCCCAAGACTCTGACGGCGGGGATAACGGAGCGGGTGTTCCTGACTCCCGAGCCGACCTCGCTCGTCCTGCTCCTGGCCACTCTCGTCCTGATGCTGCGGTACCTGACGGGCCGCTCCCCCGGCAGGCTGCCCCCCGTCTTGCCCAACGCCTGGCCCATCCTGGGCCACTTGCCCTCATTAGGACTCAGGGCAGACCTTGGCTTTCAGAGGTTGGGAAAGAAGCACGGGGACATCTTCCAAGCCCAGCTCGGCACGAGGAACGTCGTGGTTCTGAACAGCTACCAGGCACTGAAGGACGGCTACATCGACGGTGGCGACGCCTACAACGACAGGCCTGACTTCTACGCATATCAGCTTTTCTCTGACGGTGGGAAAGGTGGGTAGTAACCATTCTTTTTAAATCTGACTCACAGTTCCCTTCTGCTGTATAACGTAATTTTCTTCCACATGTGTCGATTGAGAGCAAATTATATCAGTCGCTCTCGGGAGTTAACAGATTGACAAGGTGCGCGTCTAGGCTTCTAGGTGGTCCCTTCGGCCTTATCGGGCTCGCCCAAACAACAGAAGGCGTTTGTTTGAATTCTGACTGCAGCATGTCTATATCTAAAGGGGTTCGCTGTTTTTCCTTTGCCTAGTAATACATCTCCGACAATCCACACGTGGGGCAATTTTTTACAGACGCAAGTCAGTGCATCTCAAAACCTGGCAACAGCTGATTAGGACGTTTTTCATTTTTTGTAGTTTTTCCAGAGTGTTGTGTCGTTCGGTGGCACATGAAAGTTAATGCATGTTCACGTTCACTGTCACCACCTCGAGGTCAGCTGTGGCTATTTCTGTCAGGAGTTATCTTCGGCACGGCCTTTGATCTGTACACCTGGCTGGAAATAGCGTTACCCTGCTATAAATAGGCCTTATAGTGTTCCGCGGCTTAGTTGCATGAAAACAACACGCCTGTCTGAGATGTTGGCAGTCAGCCATGTGGGAGTCTTTACATGTGCGTTCTACCTGGTTGCACCAAACCTGCCCAGTATTCCGAGGGCGGACGTGTCTGCTTGTAAGGTCGCCTGTTGAGTAAATCAGTGCGGCCCAGTTTCGTGATAAGACTCATAACCATTAACCTTTCTTTATTGTCTCCGAGACAACAAGTCTAGCCAGAGTACAGGTAGTACACTTTACGGGAACTCGGTGAAGTTGTCGGTTGTCCCTTTACAAATGACGGCGCCTTTGCCATGCACGATCGTGTCAGAATCAGCGCATTACCAGGCAGTGCACGATCTGGTGTCATTCCGCCGCTCATCTGATAGTCACACGGCCCGTGTTACCGCTCCGGGCACAGACCTCAAACACTGACCGGCATGACGATTCCAGGACATTAACCTGTTTACACGTCCCAAGATAAGCAAGGGAAAGCAAATAGTGGACCTAAAAATAGCCTTATCTCACCCAACAGAACAAAGGTGAAATAGCTCCATCGGCCTTGATTAGGGTAGAAAACAACCTGTCTATCTGTCTGTGGTTACTGTTACAGTAGTAAATTTGGTTATGGTAGCCTCTCTCACTTGGTATACTACAAGCCCTCAACAATCTGTGTGGACAAATATTCATTGTGTAGTCACTTGAAGTCACTTATTGAATGTGAAAGAGTTGATTAAGAAGCAAAAAAACTTTTAATGTGTGATCGCGTACATTTTTGTTAGCTGGTGTGTTACGCCGAAGGGCGGTTACACCGGCTATATATACAGATACGTATACAGATACAGGAAACAAGCCACGTTCTTCCCTTTCTCCACCACCCATGCTTGTTTTACTAGTAATGTCAGTGACCCTTTTATCTCAATTTTGCCTTTAAAGATATAGATCCTTCGTGTAAACCCCTTGCCAAAAATGCTGACACTTACCTGAC